ATTCGCAAATGGAAGAAACACAAAAGAATTGTAAATCTCATTCGGCCTGGGGCTCCATGCAAGATCTCACCTCGTGGAGTTGCAATGATCATGAGAACGGTGAGGAATCAGCCCAGAACTACACGGGAGGATCTTGTCAATGATCTCAAGGCAGCTGGGACCATAGTCACCAAGAAAACAATTGGTAACACACTACGCCGTGAAGGACTGAAATCCTGCAGCGCCCGCAAGGTCCCCCTGCTCAAGAAAGCACATATACATGCCCGTCTGAAGTTTGACAATGATTCAGAGGACAACTGGGTGAAAGTGTTGTGGTCAGATGAGACCAAAATGGAGCTCTTTGGCATCAACTCAACTCGCCGTGTTTGGAGGAGGAGGAATGCTGCCTATGACCCCAAGAACACCATCCCCACCGTCAAACATGGAGGTGGAAACATTATGCTTTGGGGGTGTTTTTCTGCTAAGGGGACAGGACAACTTCACCGCATCAAAGGGACGATGGACGGGGCCATGTACCGTCAAATCTTGGGTGAGAACCTCCTTCCCTCAGCCAGGGCATTGAAAATTGGTCATGGATGGGTATGCCAGCATGACAATGACCCAAAACACATGGCCAAGGCAACAAAGGAGTGGCTCAAGAAGAAGCACATTAAGGTCCTGGAGTGGCCTAGCCAGTCTCCAGACCTTAATCCCATAGAAAATCTGTGGAGGGAGCTGAAGGTTCGAGTTTCCAAACGTCAGCCTCGAAACTTTAATGACTTGGAGAAGATCTGCAAAGAGGAGTGGAACAAAATCCCTCCTGAGATGTCTGCAAACCTGGTGGCCAACTACAAGAAACGTCTGACCTCTGTGATTGCCAACAAGGGTTTTGCCACCAAGTACTAAGTCATGTTTTGCAGAGGGGTCAAATACTTATTTCCCTCATTAAAATACAAATCAATTTATAACATTTTTTACATGCGTTTTTCTGGATTTTTTGTTGTTATTCTGTCTCTCACTGTTCAAATAAACCTACCATTAAAATTATAGACTGATCATTTCTTTGTCAGTGGGCAAACGTACAAAATCAGCAGGGGATCAAATACTTTTTTCCCTCACTGTATGCTTTTGCCACGAAACCGCTTACAAGCACGGAGGGGGGGGGGGAGGGGGCGGAACGAGGGGCGGGAGGCAGGAGGGACTGCGGTTTACGCCAAAGAGAACCAAGAGAACCAACAGCCAAGCCCAGCACGTGGGGTCTTCCAGGCCTGGCGAGCATTTCAGGAAGGGGCAATAATCTGGTAATTTTTGTAATTGAGGGTAATCCTCACGAATGTGACCACGACCGACTGGGTCATTCGGACCGGCGTGTCAGAGAGAGTGTGCAGCTACGTATAGATTTTCGGTTTGTTCACGCAGAGCCAATCGGGCGTTCATGTTGCGGTCAAAACAAACACTATTGGATGTTTATAGGATCCTAAAAGGGTATTTTGCCGCCCTTATAGAAGTGTTTGTTGTTGTTATGCTTTTCTGGACTGCCGTAACTCCTGCTTCAACATTGTTTGAGCCAGAACAAAGCCATCGGCTGTTTCCAGACAAGGTTGTGGCAATGGAGATGCGACGTTCACCCACAGCCACATGTCACCCGTGTCACCCCTCGGACAGATGCCGCCGATATCTGCCGCCTTACCGGCTTTACTGAAGTAAGGCCCTCCACGAATCCACAATAATGCAACACCAACACGTGGACCTGTTTCCATTGAATAATGTCTTACAGCTATAACATCATACCACCCTGGCATTTACAAGGGCTGGGCCTTGAGCAATGCAGATGTACAGGGTTCACTTTTCCAATGATCTACCTGCACACAGTGACGGAATAAGCTAGTGCAGGGCCTGTAGCATATATAATAAAGGGGCCCTAAATAAAAAAAAACAAATATTAAAACACACATTTTTTTACTTGCACAGTAAAGATATAAGAATAGGTTTTCCCCCTTTTTTCTGGCAACAAAACTGAAACCTTTTTACAAGGAATCATGTCTGCATTAACCACAATACCTGCAGTCAAAATGCAAACAAAAAAAATACTATGATAATATATGCATTGCCCTTGAAACTGATTGGTCCACACCAGATCATTGCCTTTTGGCGTCCTCTGATCTAGCACCGTTTGAGATGAGGCTCAAAAGAAAGCTGACCCTGGTACGAACCAATCAGTTTCAAGGACAATGCATATATTATCAGAGCATGTTTTTTGTTTGCATTCTGACCACAAGCATTGTGATTAATGCAGACATCTTCTTTGGTTCTTTCGGTAAAGTCACGTAGAATGAGAATAAAAAATTATTTTATTTTATTTTATCAATTTATTATTTTATTCTCATTCTACGTGACTTTACCGAAAGAACCAAAGAAGATTAATCATTGCAGTCACGAAAGCTTTAAATCGGTTTTAGTTTTGTTGCCAGAAAAGAGGGGAAAAACCTATTCTTATATTTTGGTACTGGCAAAGGAGGTCTCATGATTGCATAGTAAAGTCATTGTATTTTTTCATTTGCTATACAGCCAGATAATACGACAAATCGCTAACCTTAAAGACCCAGTCGTTCATAAAGGTTGAAGGCAGTATAGTACTACAGTAATAGAGCAAGTGCAGAACCGAAATTGATAGCTTGAAAGCATTTATCGAGGAGCCCATGAAAGTGCGCGGTCCCGTAGCATATGCTACTTTTGCTACTCAGAGATTCCGGCACTTCCTACACATGGCTGTACGCGTGTACGTGTACATCAACAGCCCTTCTGTCAATTGACCACTGGACGAGGGCCTCCCCGCGTCATGCGGGTTGTGGGGTAGTTACTGAGCCACACTTTTCAACACCCCAGTCAATGGGAATAAAAGTAGAGTACAAAGTTGAATTTTTCTGTACTGCCTCCTCACGCCCGCCTCGTAGCCCCACGGCATAAAACAACCCTTGTATTCACGTTGGTCGCCCATCCACATGACATCCAGCCCAATGATGCTGGATGTAATTACCAGCGAAACGTCCTGCTCAAATTGTAAATGTTGTGGATTTACTCTCCAATACACCGGTGGGCTTAAGTAGTAACTAATTGGCACATTGTTTACGTGACAAACCTTACCGGCTGTGTCGGGTGGTGGAGGGTTACGACACATTTATACCTAACGCGATCTAACCCAAAAACCTTTATTATTAATAATTTTCAACCGATAATAAGCCACTTCATTGAGCTATTGTTTGTGATAGCCAGGTTTCTGAAAAAATATATAGTTTACATTTGTTGCACACTTGGATCGGAAAGTCGGAAAGAACCCCCCCCCGCCCCCAGTGGTTCCTGTTCCTTCGTACCTAAGCTCCCTCACCAGGACCCACTTCCAAATCAGGGTACGGCGGCTGTCCCACGCTCACCATTTTTATTTATCAATTTATTTTTTCTTTCCGCAAGCCCTAAAGCCACCGACCCCATCGAAATTCGCCGCAGTCAGTGATTCCCTTCAATGCCTCTGAGCCTCCCTGGGCAGCCGGCCTGGCAAACCGTGGGGGTGCCGCACGGAGCGACAGACATACACGCACGCACACGCAGACACACGCGCGTGTGGGATTTGTTTTTCGCGAGCGGGGATTACACCTGAGCTCCACAGGTGAGTCGCGTTACCCAGCGCAGATGCCCGCGTGCGCTGCCAATGACTGCGTCCTATAAACTATATATATAAAAATGTTTTTACCAGGTAAGGCCTCCTGAGCTCTGTAGCTCTTTTTTTCAGAAGCGACCTGGCTATCACAAATGATAGCCCACTGAAGTGGCTTATCGGTTCGAAATTGAAAACAGACAAGTACTCTGAACGCACGTTGATTCTAAACGTGGAGCGAAAAAAACGGAGACACGCAAAATCCAAATATACAGGCGTCAGGTTTGGGATTTAATCCAGAACCTCCTGTATACCAGGCAAGGTAGTTAACATCTCGCTACTGTGGTGTCCTGTTCCGCAGCATTCTGCGCTGTATAATAATGTCAATCTCACTTCCGGATGAAGGCATCCCCATGCTGTGTCAGTCGAGGGGGGTTGTTTAACCATACTTAACCACGCTGGTCAGTGTATGTTCGTCAAGGCTATAGGGGGGGAAGATTAAGTTTGGTAACCCAGGAAAGACTGAGTCTCAAGACTCTTTTCAGGAGGGCCCTGCCAGATTTTCGCAGAGGCTGGGGGCGATATTACTGCTGCTGCTGCTGCGTGTGTAATTCCAATCGAATGATCACAGGTATTTTTTTTTGCAGTGGGATATTTTGGTCAAGACCAGTTACACCGCGTGTTTTCAGCTTTGGGATGAAACCGGAGAATCCAGAGGAATCGCATACAGAACAGGGGGAAAACATACAAACTGCACAAAGGATGCCACCAAAAAAGAGTGTAACCATTGCACCACAACCTTGCCACCCTACTCTAACTAGTCGGGCCACCGTGTTCACACAGAATCAGAATATGTATTCATACTGGAGGAATCCGATGAGCTACAAAGCTCTTTTTCACAGATGTCCAGCAGCTGCAGTGCGCTAACCCATTGTGCCACAGCTCCGCACCGCGCTATTCTTACACCTCGCCCACACGTGCACGAACAAGAGTGGACAGAACCGTCCTGACAGTGGACGGAACCACCCCGTGCATGCACGGGGCGCATGAGCGAATGCCGAAGTCTCTCGTCAGTGGTGTTTTACATTAGTATGTATGTTGAACTTCCAAGCGCACCGCACGTAGCCCAGCCGTGCGCTAATTGGACGTGCAGGACACCAAACTAAACACACTGTTAATGCTCCACAGCAGTGCCTGGCAAGGTTGTATACAACGCAGTGATGTCACGTTAAGGGCCCACGGTGTAAAGAGAGGCCACTCACCAATAACAAGGGCCCATCTGGGGGGAGGGGGAGTGTACGACACGTGCTGCATCTCGTGCCCCCCCCCCCCCTCCCATCGCCCGCCCCCCCCCCCCCCCGCATCTCACCTGGCTTCGTGGCGAGTCTCGCCGCTTGCTCCGAGTAAGCCGACGCGTTGGGGTAGGCGAACGCGGAGCTGCCTGTGGGAGACACGCAACGGCCGCTCGTGATAGGCACGCGCACACACGCTCGCCCGCTCGCCGCTTGCGTTCCTCTCCCACGTCCTCTCGTGCCGCGTCAGCGCGCCCTGAATGGTCCCCCGCGGGGTGCGTGGGGCTCAGTCGCCGGGAACAAATGCAGAGCAAATAAAACAAAAAAAAATCCCTAAATTTCAACCCACGCCTCGCGTGTTGCTTTGCCGCCCGGGGGAACGCTCTCTGGACCGTTGCCCGTCAGCGCTGCTTTGTAAACGCGTTCTTCCCCAAGTGTTGTGTGTGCACGGCAGCGGAGTGCTAGGTGCGCTAGGTGCGTGTGTGCGTGCCAGGTGTGTGTGCTAGGTGTCCGAGTTGCGTGCGTGTACGAGAGCCAAGGCAGCGGAGGACACGGGTTGGGTGAGCGCATCTCCAGCAAGCAAAGTCGAGCAGCGCAGGTGCTGTGGGTGGTTCTGGTCACGCGAGCGGAGGGTGCGGCCGCAGCACGGGCAGGAGTGGTACGAGGACATGCCGCCCAGCCTTGCCACAACCCCGCCTCCTGTCACCTGCCCCTAGGACCTCTCCCAGAACCCAGGATCTCCTCCTCCTCCCCTCCCCCCCACTCACCCCCCCCACCCTCCCGATTCCAATATTTGATTGTCCATCGTGATGGCGATGATGTTCGTGTGTATGCACGAGTCGCACGCGACGGTAATCGCGGCGCAGCAGCAGTAGTGTGGTTATGGAGTGGTGCAACTGCGCCCCGCCGCGCCATGGGACCGGAGAGACCCCAGGCACCATGCTTATGAAGAGGGGCGGCGAATTGAACAGGGGCAGGACTTCCCTAGTTCAATGCTTGCAACCATAGGGGCCATGCCAATCCGGGATACTTTGCCACACTGCCGCACGGTTTTCGGCGTTATTGACAGATGCGGGCTGTGCACATCTCGTGAGGATGTCCGCACGAGATAGAGGCCTCAGGTGAAAGAAAAACATTATCCAGGTCACGCATTGTTGCTGAGATGATACCCTAATTAGTTTTTTTGTGTTTCAAAGAAGCCGGTTTCCCTGCACATGAAACCGTTGCACTGCATAAATGACAACACACAACGCACTAAACGTCAATAATAATAATCATACATTCAGTGAGTAGGATCAGTTCGCACAATCGGTGGATAGGGATTAGTTCAGTGTGCGTTACCTACACAGGCAGTGGCAGTTAAAGTTAAATAAAAAATATGCCCGTAGGATCATTCAATAGGATTTTGTTAACAGAGTTAGTGAACGTGCGGTCGTGTCGGAAATTGCAATTACAAATCGCAGAGGTTGGAATTTGTTCTGCAATCGATGGGAAACAGGCATGCTCACTATCGTTTGACGGGTCCATGCTTACTGCAAGCGCTTGAACGTGCAGGCTGCATGCAAATCAAACGCGGCTCCAACCATTCAAACCCATCCGTAATTCGATGAAACGTCGCGAATCGGAGCGGCGATCGGAATTCACGAATGGATTCTCCTCCTTTACCTTTGCCCTTGCAGTGGGACAGACAGAGGGCTGCACGCACACGGTACGTGTGACGGTATACATTTAGGTTTGGAATCTTGAAACGTACTCGATTCTCACATGCACGAGTTGACGATGCACGTACTGCGAGTGCAAGAATCGACGACATTTTTTTCCATCGTTACGACCCTACACCAATGAACATTCGTTGCACCGCGGGGGAAGAACTCTTCCGCGATGAACCAATGCATTTCTTCCGCCAATCAGAATCGTTTTTTTTTTAGCCAGGCGACACCGTCACGGGAAATTAAACAGAGGGCACCTTCACCACCATTGGTGGCAACAGTCCCAGCGGTGGCAAAGGAGGACCGCTGGCGCGCGCGTGCACGGGAAGACAGTTACGCTGGGCCATTTAGCGCGTACGGCTCGCGTCCGCTTTGTAATCCGAGTGTCGTTTTTTTTTTTTGTTGCAGGTTGGGCCGCATTTAACCTACCGAAGGTGCCCGCAGCAGTGCGTGGCGAAAATTCCGAGAAAGAGAGACCGGCGGTTATGCGGCCGACGGCGCAGACCCAACCCGGACAAACAAACAAAAAAATAATCCACACGTGAATCGCGCCCGGGAACGTTCTCCCGTTCCGTTCGTCAGCTCCGCCAGGGCTCACGAGGGAAATGTCAAGAGCCGGGCGGACGCAGGCGGGGAGGCAGAGCCGCAGGAGGGAGAGGTGGCGCCATGCAGGGGCGTTGAACGGGGGGGCGCGTGCGGGTGGTGAGGGGTGGTGAAGGGTGGCAGGCAGGCAAGCACATGGTGGGGGGTGTGGGGGGTGACGGAAAGGAAAGTGGGGTGGGGGGTTGTGTCTTTGGGGAGTGGGGGTCAGGCCTAGGCTCGCTCTCCCCTCGTCTCTCTCGTTTTGCAACTTCGGGGGGAGGGGGGCGAGTGGCCGCTACCTCGAGCTTGCGTTGTCCTCGGAGACGACTGCAGGGCGCTATCCACGTCGTCACAAGTCAAGTGTGGGAGTGGCGCTGTAACAGAGTGGGGGGCAGCTCCCAGTTTACTTGCAGCCAAGCAGCAGGGGCAGGCGAGGAGGATTTCGAGTGAGGCGTGCCAGGTCACCTCATTCCCTCTTCGGAATTCATCATTATACTCTTGATGGAAAAGAATCCAGCCCTCTCGTCCTTCCCCCTCCCCTCCGCCTCAACCCCACCACCGCCACCCCAAGAACCTCTCCTCACCCTGCTCTCTCCAGCGCACACCCACCCACCCACTCACCAACCCACCCACCCACTCACCAACCCACCGGGTCTTTTCCTCGGGCGACCGTGCACCGAGCGGAGGAGATGAATGGGGGTGTTCGCGGCAAGGAGTGAGGGAGCGCCAAGACACCAGGAGGAGGCCAATGCAGTGGCGGCGTTCGAATTTTAGCGGCCAGAAGCTGCGAGTGAGGACGTCTCTCGTCAACAGTTATTGAGCATGCGGGGACGCGGGGATGCGGGATGGCCAGAGGGCACCGGTTGATGTGGCGGCGGATGGGGGGGGGGGCATGCAGTGTATTCTTACCTCTTGTTTTTAAACGTCCGATAAGCAGGAAGAGAATACAGAGGGAGAGTTAAAAGCGTCCGGAGAAAGAGGTCCCAAACAAGGCAGGGGGGGGTTAACGAAGGTCCCTTCGCCATTTTAAACGAACGTATCGCGTGCGGTGACGTGTACGCGTGGGGTAACGCATTGTGTGGGGTAACGTATCGCGTGGGTTAACGTATCACCGCGCGGCTGACTGGGACGTAGCGTTTTTTGACCGGACTAAACGGTGGTCGGGCACTCGTGCGGCTCTCGTTCGTGTGACCCTGTGGCGTGTGACCTGCGTGCGCGCGGCTCTAGCGCCACCGCCGTGTCCTCTCCCCCCCCCCCCCCACCGAGCTCCGAGACATTTGCGTCTCCCCCCGTGAATGCGATTTTAATGTTTTGCAGTCGCTTTAAATCGAGGAGCACCTTGGTAACAGGTGTGGGCCACACCGATTGTGCAACTAATTTAATTAATCACCCGACGGCTATCTACTGCCACATTCTAAAGGAATAACAACAGCAAATTTAAGTCATCCAGGTCCTTTGCCACAACACCATTCTTAAAGACCACAAGCAACGCAACACAAGCGACGGAATTGAAGAGGCGCTCGCGACCCAACGTGTGAACAGAAGTTTGCGTCACTGAATAGACTCTCTCTATGACCCCCCCCCCCCCCGTCTAAATCCATCACGGGGCCCTTTCCACCCCAAGGATGCTCTTCGTCCTGGAGAATTCCACTGTTGTCTCGCGTGTCCTGATTAAATCGTCAGGAGCCAATTCACCGACGTGGCAATTTTCCAGCGGGCGGCTGTGGGACTCCACGACACGTCCATCGAGTCGGCCAGCAGTCTGTCCAGCAACTTGACTAGTGGCCTGACCAGCGGCCTGACTAGTGACCTGACCGGCTGCCTGACCAGCGGCCTGACTGGTGACCTGACCTGCGACCTAACAATCAACCTGACCTGCGACCTGACCTGCGACCTGACCAGCGAATTGACCATCGGCCTAACTAGCGACCAACCATCAACCTGACCATTGACCTGACTATCAACCTGACCATCAATGTGACTAGCGAATTGACCATCAACCTGACCAGCGACCTAACCAGCGACCAAACCATCGGCCTGACCAGCGACCTGACCAGCGACCTGACCAGCGACCTGACCAGCGACCTGACCAGCGACGTAATCATCGACCCGTCCGGCACCCGCCCTCTGCGACGAACGATCCGACGCGCCCGCCCGCCCGCCCGCCCGCCCCGCCCCGGCCTACCCGGCCGCGAGGAGGCCACTCACTTTCCCTGAGGTAGTTCAAGTGCGACAGCAGCACTTCGGCGTTGTAGGCCGTCGTGAGACGCATGAGGTCCTCCTTGCTCATCTTGCAGAGCTCCTTGCCGTCCACGGCCTGGAAAAGAGCCGGCTCGACCTCGAGGAGGCCGTACTCCTTCACAGCCCACTCGAGCCACTGGCGCACGTGCTCGGGCGTCCACAGGGTCGGGTCTGCGAGCGGGCGGAGGGCGGGGTGGGGGGGAAAGTGACCGTGGAACACATGAATGTGCTGGGGTGTGCATGCACGTATGAGACGCAGTGGTGCAGCGGAAAGCGCACCGCGCTATGAACCCAGCAACCCGAGTTCCGATTCCCGCACATGGCCAACACCGGTGACGATTATTTGAACTGGTCCTGGGCCTCCCCTACGTCGACTTTACCTCAAATAAGTACCTGATGAGGTGTGGTCACATCGCCACTGGGGAGACGAAGGCTGCCGGGCGTGGCGTTGGCCACCCACCCCCTCGTCTGCCCTGCCAGCCTTCATAGGTGCTCGCTAACAGCACTGTTAAAGTTATATAGGGGATCTTTGTCATTGTACACGTATGTACGTTGAATTTCTTTCGCACTGAAAAGTAGTAAACTGTGCCAATCGAAGGTGCGGGGGGAAGGACAACAAACTAAATACAAAATGGGTAACGGGACGTAGCTTTTGACGAGGCTGAGTGGTGACCGGGCACTCGTGTGGCTCATGTTCGTTTGACCTGTGTGTGACCTGTGTGTGACCTGTGTGTGACCTGTGTGCACTGCTCTAGCGTCACCACTGTCTCCTTTTGCGTAGAGACCTCTAAAGAAAAAAAGTTTTAAATTTAGTTTTAAAGGTGCATAGTTCCAGTGGCTTCCATAATATCGGAAGTAATAGCATTCCAGACGGCCGCAGAGGCGCACCTTGAAGCGCCGCGCGATGCGGTGACCGTTGTTATTGGTGCGTATGTATCGTGAACTTCCGTCGCACCGTACGAAGCCAACCGCGACGCGTCGAGCGACTCGTGATGCCGGCAAACAACGGATAAGCAAACTCGACACGCGGTCGTTACAATGCCATGCTCCACGTTGGGATTTTGAATGTCGTACGAGAAGGGAGAGAGCGAGAGACTTAATGGGGCGACCATCACCAAACTTGTCGGTGTTGAATCGCTGCGCAGTAAACAGAGGCTGCAAGCAGGGGCGGAGCCAGGATTTTGACTTTGGGGGGGCTGACTTCAATATTCTGACATATCCAGTGTGTTTATGTTTTCCAATGGGCGCCACAAATGGATAAAACAAATTGGATTGGATTTGAATGCGGAGTTTATTAATAGGTCGGAGCCGCTGCTGTGGCTAATAAGTTCGATAAGTTCGAAAGGCTGCCGCTCAAGCAGCCTGCAGGGCAGCACAAGGTGGCAGCCTGCAGGGCAGCAGCACAAGGTGGCAGCACAAGGTGGCAGCCTGCAGGGCAGCACACAAGGTGGCAGCCTGCAGGGCAACAGCCCAAGGTGGCAGCCTGCAGGGCAGCACGGAGTGGCAGCCTGCAGGGCAGCACACGAGGTGGCAGCCTGCAGGGCAGCACAAGGTGGCAGCCAGCAGCATTTTGCAGCAGCCGGATATCCGGTTATCCCGATTACCGACTTTCCCAAAATTTCAGGGGGGGCTGAGCCCCCCCCAGCCCCCCCTGTGGCTCCACCCCTGGCTGCAAGGCATTATTTGCCTACATTGCAGTTGTTTGTTGTAGCCAGTTTCATTCCGATTGAGTTATTGACAGCATGCATTTTTTTTCCTACAATTGCATTGTCGGTGTTACATCACGAAAGGATGCCCTGATACCGGATATCTCTCGCAGGCCAGCGCAATGCTTTGTGTTGGAAGGACGGCCCATGGAAGCGGATATCACGGAGCTACCACTGAGACCTCCTCTTCAAGTGACCTATGTTCCACACACATTAGAGGGCAGCGCTTCCCACTCGCTCGACATGCGTGAGTGAGGTTCATCACAAGTTGGCACAGGAGGAGGACACAGATGGTGCATCTGCCAGTCATCTCAGTCGGTCAACCCGCACCTGCTGGGCCTGTACTGTGACCACTTCACGTGGCCCCAAAGCGCACCTGGTCTGGCACGGGCGCCGTGGTGACGTCACCGTCACGGTGGCCGTTGTTTATGGCTACATAAATTCTTAAGCCAAACTAAAGCGCACGACCAAATTCAACGTGATGATTGTTTTTTTTTTCTTCTCATTGTTACAATGTAGAGAAATCGACGCATGCTTTGCGTAGTCCGTACCGGCCGGTACAATGACCCGACGCTCGCTGGCCGTCGTGTTGGGCGGCGCCAGCCCCTTGTCGTCCAGGTAGCCGCCGTACCCCGGCTGTGACACCTCCACCGCGCCCGGCGCAGGCATCTTAGCTCGCTTGGTCACGCTGCAATCAACCGGCGACTCCCTGCGAGAGATTGAGTGAGAGAGAGTTAGATAGAGCGAGAGAGTGAGTGAGAGAGAGCGAGTGAAAGAGAGTGATAGAATGAAAGAGAGTGAGAGAGAGAGAGAGTTAGAGAGTGACACGACAGAGAGTCAGAGAGAGTGTGCACATGGGACAGTATGGTCACGAGAGCAAAATGACGTTGCTTATCATTATTAAATACATGTTTTATTCGGATAGCAATTGAGTGCCTTGTGCTCACAAGAATAACAAATCTTTCCAGGAGCTAAGCAGGCTTGAGCCTGGATAGGCCTTGGTTGGGTGACCGCCATGCATAACGTGGGTGTTACGGGCTGCTGTGGGTCTACAATACCAGCAAAGGGAATTGGGCAAAAACTACTGTTGTACTGTACTACGCTCCAACGTTTCTGCTCCCCACCATCATCAGCCCACACTGTGACCAGCATGGCGAAGGATGATGAAATAAGTCCCGTGGCCCTCATCCAGCAGTAGATTGGCAAAGAGGGGGCCGTGCGAGAACATCGAGCAGGACTGGTGGATCACACAGAGATTTGTGAAACTCGCTGGGCTGTGAGAGCAGCTGAAGGATGGCAGTACAACAAGGGGGTGGGGATGGAGGGGAGTGGGGTTTGTGAACCCATCCGTGTTGACCGCTGAATGTTATCCCCCGTGTATGTGTGGTGGGATTTCTCTGCGTACTCTTGTTTCTTACCCCTCCTAAAGCATGCAATGCAAGGGCATTGGTCAAACATTGCAAGATACAATGCTTCTGCAAACGAGTCTTGAGGCTTAGTGAGGCTTTCACAGATAAGTATAATAATATGATAATCATCATCAATAATATGCATTCATTGAATAAGTGTCAATCTGAGTGCACAACTCCAAATTGAAAAACAGTTCAAATCCTAATTGGGGGTCAACTCAACCCATCATCTAGTGCGGGTCACTAAAATAAGCACTAGTTTTTTTTATTTGTTTGGCAAATCAAACATTGGGCCCTCCGAGTAAAGTTACTCTGGGCCTCGTCATGAGAATGTGAAATTTCCACCGACGGCTCAGTAAAGCCAAATGGTGGGGTTAGCGCCCGCAATACGTTTGTCACCGTCCACCACGTTCAAAAAAGGGGTGGGGATTTTTTTTTTGTTCAACCCCTCATCTGGCCCGAGAAAGCAGAATTCAACCGAGCCGACTCGACGTACGGTGGGTTGGTTTGAGAAAAGCAGAAGTCGCACACTGTATTCGCACACAGTTTCTCGACAGAAGTGTAAAAAAAAAAACCGACGAACATTGGCACACGCACGCCGCTATCGGAACAGGAACACGCCGATTGCGTTCACTTATTTATTATTATATAGACTGTGCCACCTTAGTGACCAAGCCACCTTGAATGTAACCAATCTTGTCAGGTCCACCTCATAGGGCGCCACGGTGGCGAGATGTTAACTACCTCGACTGGTATGCAGGAGCTCTTGGTGGCGGGTGTTACCTGGTAATTTTTTAAAAATAGTTTTAATAAGCTCAGCAGGTTTGAGCCTGGATAACGCTCGGATGGGTGACCACCGTGCGTGGCAATAGGCTGCATGGGAGGCCACGTTGCGGGCAGCGGACGGTGCTGAAAAATCCATTGTTTTTTTGTCCGCTCCAACATCTACACTTCCTCGCCTTTACCAACCTGCACAGACCAGCGTGGTTAAGTATGGTAAAATAACCCCCCCCCCCCAACGCACAACCCGCATGGCGTGGGGTGGCACTCATCCAGCGATGGATGGACAAAGTTGGCCGTACGCATAACGCCAAGGAGTCCTCGCAGCGGCTTTCGGCTAACCATAGAACAGAGGCGGCCACCGCATCTCGCGCTTTCAGATGCGCTTCAACCCTCTTCCTTCCGATATTAGGAAGCCACTGGGAAGTGTACACTTTTAAATCACCTAGATTAAAAACTCATCTCTTTAGAACTGCTTTTGGTGTTTAGTTTTAGTGTTGTCCTTCCCCCCGCACCTCTGATTGGCACGGTTGGCCACGTTACAGTGCCTAAATAAGTTCAACATGCACGCACGTTACGTACAACCCGGAGACAATAATACGAGCGACGAGGCAAAGTCAGGCGCCTCTCTTGCGTGCCTGACAAATTGTCCGCGCGTGCCAACGACACCAATCAGACATACGCGCGTGCTTAAATGCGCAAAAAGAAGTCAACACGCGATACTGCATCGATGCTGTTGCCCTTACGAATTGGAGGGGTGCTCTCGAAGGTATCGTTCATGATGAGAGAATCACAAGGCGGCATTCTTTAACCGCACCGTTGGAAATGTTGTCAGCATATACCTCACGTATTTAAGGTGAACAACGTCCATCCTGGACATCAACCCTCAGTCAGGAGAATGGCACCAGACAGACAGAGAGGTAGGGAGGTCGATGTAATTCGTTACACTGAAAACGCTTGAGTGGATCTTCTGTCATACGGAACAAAATAATTCGAATTGGTCACAGCCGAGACGTTGGCCAACGGCTGGGACTCTTCCAAATCTCGACACCGCAGAGGACGCGTGGCGGCATGCAAGGATGACAAGCCGATAAAATATTCGCGTCTGTAAACGATGAGAAAGCCCCCATCGTCAGGGAGCAATAGCCCAGAGAGCCGCGCATTTATAGCGACACACGCATTGAGAGGGCATGGCCTCGTTATGCAAGCAGAAAGAAAAACACGATCGGCTTTTCCTGAAGAGGTGCATTGTGGTCACCGTCAGAACAAATTTGAGCGCATTCGACCAGCTGACAGCAGCAGTGGTGCAGTGATAGGCAACTGTGGACAATGGTGACTGCGCCGTGCTGATGAGTCACAATGAGGGCAAAACTAGTCCACAGTTTGAATCAACGTTGCCGCAGTCAGTCGGTCACATTTGCTCAAATATATTTCAATGGTCGCCTAAGACAAGAGGACCACAATGCACTTGTTCAGGAAACACTGGTGGTGTTTTTCCATATGCACGGATAATCGCACTACCAAATGCGTGCGTAGAATTGTTATCCACCTGGCTCATTCCACTGTCTAATTATGAACCTTTAATGATAGATTTTGGGTGGAGTGGAGGTGCAGTGGTTAGCACATTGCGCTGTGAACCCGGCTGCCTGAGTTAGATTCCGGGCCACGGCCACGATCATTGTAAAGGGATATCTGAAACTGTCCTGGAAAACCTTTTGACGTAACAAACAATGATCAGCTTGGTGAAGTATGGTCAGACGACCCATGCCTGGCCTTTCATTCTACCGGACTGACAAAGGGACTGTAAATAATTATAATGGACAATACCCCTTTTGAACACCCAGTACATCCCGGTCGTACATTACCGAATCACGTTGCGAATGTAAACATTAACTCTTTCTGTTGTTGCTTGAACGCGCATACGAAAAGCTCACAATCTCCCACTTTCACCCCAGCACCGAGTGACATACGTAGCGCGCTCCAATTCAGACCATTGTGTTTAGCGCCTTCACCGCCCCCCCTCGTCACGAGAGTGATCGTGAGCAATCCCAGGCCGTGTTTACGCACTCAGGCTGGTACGCGCGCGCACGCACAATAACAGCAGTGCAAAAAAAAACCCCCGCTCCGAGCAAATCGCATTGTCTGGCCTCAAAGCAAAATGTCAACACCGCGTTCCCGTTTCCTGCATTTGTCTGACTTTAGCGCCTGAACCTGGGACCGGGACTCGATCTGCACGCAGCTGTGCGTAGCCTAAAGCGGAGTTGCAACTAGTCATTCATTGTTTTACTCTGGTTTGGGTCTCCAATGTTTGGCCCAACCCTTTGATGCATTTACCCAGTTATAAAATCATCGGTAAGGCCCTCATAGCAACAACGACAAAAATAAACAGAATCAGAATTTGTATGTACCCTGGAGGAATCTGCTGAGCTGTGAAGCTCTTTTTCACAATGTCCAACTGTGCACTGCAGGCTAGGTAGTATTGGTTCATCTGCACGAGAGTTATCGTGGCCATCATGCCATTTTCCCTCCACAATTAGAAGCATGCATTGAGATTATTTAGATTATTTTGGCGCTATAAATGTCCAAATGATGGTCCACTTTGTTGAGCTATCATTTGTGGCCAGGTCGTTTCTGAAAAATAAACTAATACCTCAGTGGGCTTTGCCTGGTGTGATGGGGAGGGTTTAGTTTTATTTAGGTGATGTTAACCTTTATTGTACTTTCCACTAACATCATGTTGTTGTACTGTTTGTCATAACGTTCTTACCCACCCCCACAGGACATCTGTGAAAAAGAGCTTCATAGCTCATCGGATTCATCCAGTGTAAATACATATTCTGATTCAGATGAAATCCCCTTTTGAAGAAAACACACAAATCGCTCACCGTCGATTAGCCACCTCCCTATGACTCTTCCATCGCTGCTACTGCTAGCACGGTTGCTGTTCCCATGAACATCACTCAGAGACTCTGGCACCCACATCGAGGACTTGGTCTACCAGACACAGCGTCAGCCACGCTGTTTTCAACGACCACGCTGCAGGTTACAACAGCACATTCACTCACCCGCTCGCACACTCGCACACTCACTCAATCATCCACTCACTCACTTCACCACCCACTGACTCACCCACTCACTCAGCCACTCACACACTCACCACACCGCAGGTCACACCAGCACAACCAGTCACTCACCCACTTACTCACTCACTTACTCACCCACCCACCTTCTCACTAACATACTCACACACTAACTCGCTCACCAACTCATTCACTCGCCCACCCACTCACTAACCCACTTACTCAATCACTCACTCACCCACTTACACACTCACCACACTGCAAATCAAACCAGCACCCCACTCTCGCACCACTCTGAATTTGGATGTCCGTCCCCATCGTCTCTTTCCCTAAGTTCCTATACTGCACAGTAGTAGTAATAATAATAATAATCTCGCTTAATAAATTCTAGAAACGCGCTAACGCTTATCTATCGCAACTTTAACGGTGCTGCACGTTACTTGGCCGTGCGTGCCCCCGTGCTCGGCAACCCGCGACTGACAACAAAACAAATCAACAACAACAACGACGACGGGACACCGAACCTTGTCAGTCACCTGCTGCCGTTGATGTGCTCGTACTCCCGCTTGACGCTCACGCGCCCGCCCTGCGCCAACCACTCCGTCTGGGGAAGAGGGCTCAGCCGGCCACCCTGCGTGAATTCACCGGGAGCCGAGGCGGTCATCTCTCCCTTGAGGAGCGAAGAGGAGCCACCCACGGGCGCGCCCGCCGTGCCCTGGAGCGCCGAGGACACGAACGCGGGCGAATCGACGAAGAGGGCTTGGTCGTCACTCACGACGGACAGCGCTTCCTACGAAGGGCAGATCGGGCGCAGCGTCGTCAGCATCAGTAATAGAAGCAACAGGATCATCATCAGTAGCAGCAATAGGATCATCATCATCATCAGTAGCAGCAGTAGGATTATCATAATCAGCAGCAGGATATCGTCATGAGTAGCATCAACGGGATCATCATCAGTAGCCGGAGCAGGATCATTATTATCAGTAGCAGCAGTAGGATCATCATCAACAGTAGCAGCAGCAGGATTATCATCAGTAGCAGCAACAGGATTATCCTCTTCTGCAGCAGAAGCAGGATTATCAGCGGCCACAGGATTATCAGCAGCAGCAGAATCATCATAACACATCTGTAGCAGGAGCAGGATCATCATCATCTGCAGCAACAGCCTTCCCAGTAAACATGGAATGTTGGACCAACGATGGCCCAACAGTTCCGAGCCACATTCCATCAAGGCTTACCCAAGCCGTCGCCATCTCTCATGGTTCTGATTTGCAATGACCCACCGCTCGGCACCCATGTATCGTAGTGATGCACCCAGTCAATCGTGGATTGAATGTACTTCAACTACTGTATGAGGAAGCATGGCACCTGCAGAGAGTGATGGGCGATCGGACAAAAACTATAGACTATAAAAACAATCAAATATTTTTTATTTTACCAGGTAAGGCCCACTGAGCTCTGTAGCTCTTTTTCAGAAGCGACCTGGGCACAAATGATAGCTCAACGAAGTGGCTTATCACGTGTACATTTATGGGAACCAAATACTCTGAAACACGTGTTTATAAATGTGGAGGGAAAGATCGGAGGACCCGGAGAAAAATGCACGCGACCAGGGGGAGAAAAACACGCAAACTCCAAATATACAACAGGCATTGTCAGCGTCGAGATCGAACCCACGACCTCCTGTATACCGAACAAAGTAGTTAACATCTCGTCACCGTGGCGTCTGAAAACAGGAGCAGTGTATGGCGGAGGTGAAGACCTGAGGGACAAATATAGCAGAGTAACAGGGGGCTGCCATGTGGATGGAGTTCAGGGACAGAGAGGGGAATTTCAAAATCAGAATATTCATTTATCTTGGAGGAATCCGCTGAGCTATAAAACTAATTTTCACACGTGTTCAGATGTCCAACTTGAATGGGGTGAAAAGGATTCACCTGCCAATGTTGCAAGGATGCAGTTAACAATGCCAACGTTGGGTCGACATTGGCACGTGGTGGAAACCGTTGGACGAACGTTGGCCAAACGTTCCATGTCTACTGTTGAGAATGTTGCTCTCAGGGGCTCGGGAGGTGAGTGGGGAGGGGTCGGGGAAGAGAGTTCAAAGAGGGGGTAGATTTGAGAAATTATTGGGGAACTTGGAAGTTTCTCTAGCTGGGCTCTCTCTTCTGAGTCGAGCAGCAGAAGATTTTGTGCGTAGAGTGGCAGACGAGGTGTGAGTCGAGCGGCAGAGGAGGTGTGCCTGTTTTGGGGCTAGAGATGGAGCTGTGGGTAGAGTAGCAGTCGAGAGAGGCTGCTCATAGCGCGGTCTTGCAGAGGAGATGTACCTGCCGTATTGTAGGTTCTCGTCGCGATATCGAGCAGTTGACAAAGAGTATGACGGGCCAAGGGGTGCTGCATGTAACTTAAAAATAACAACGTAGCTTCACGTAGCGTGCCTACTTTATGTAAATAAGCAATGCAGTGGGCAATTGCGCAACCTCTCTCCCCTCTGCCCCTTTCCCTGTGTGTATCCACACGTCCCATTTTACCAGCCGGTCGCACAGCTCATGGAAAATCGATCATACTTCGACGCCAAAATGACATTATCACTCGCCTAGCCGGCACACGACTGCGCGACATGAATGAGACCTCTTCAGAACGTGTCCATTCGTTCACACGAGTTTCATTCGTCACCTTTCTTAACATGCGCTGCTGATTTAAGGGCATCTCGCGAAAGACTTGAGAGCCACGGTTGTTAATCATCCTTTCACACGCGATGCCAACATCCCCCCCTCTCCCCCCATTTACATTCCCATTTTCGAACCACTTAAGAGGCCCTCCGTTAATCCACCGCTTGACATATATATGTTCGGTGGTGGGGGGTTTGGAGGCGGTGGGAATGGTGGGGGGTTTGGAGGGTTGTTTAACCATACTTCACCATCGCCGGTCCGGTGCGCGGTTGGTCAACTCACCGCTGATGTTAGCCATGGCCCAGCCCCCCAAATCGAACCGAGATTGCCGGCTGGATCATGGTGCCGTGGGTCGGTGCGCAAGCCCGCGCTGCTACACCCCTGCACGACGTCGTGGTCGTCCAACATCGCCGGTGTTAACCCGCTGGTTAAGTCAGTACACGCCTCGTAGACGTGGGGAGGCCCTTCGTGCTGACAGCGAGCCACTTAATAAATGCCCTCCCGGCACGAAGACGCTCAACCCGTGCAACGTGGTGGTTTGAATGCTTTCTTGAGCCGTTCAAATTTCAACGGGCGCAGGAAAACGAATAGGGCCAATTATTGGCACGTGCCGGTCACAGAATCAGAATTGGTGGCTTGTCCAAAGGGGGGCTTTAAATCAGAATATTTATTGATACTGGAGGAATCAGATGGAATCCGATGAGCCGTGAAGCTCGCTTTTTTCAGAGGTTTTTTTTTTCCAGCAGGGTCGGGTAAGAACGTCTTCGACAAGCAGTACAACAAGATGACAGTAGTGCAAAGTGCCAGAAAGGCAAAAGAAATCACGCAAACAAATAAAAATAAACTATCCCCGTCCTGCCGGATCAAAGCCCACTGAGAGGCGTTAACTTATTGTTCAAAAACGACCTGGACACGAATGACACCTCGACAAAGTAGCTTGTCATTTATTTAACAGGGCCCCCCCTACGTCCTCCTGCTGTAAATATGTAAGTAATTGTGTTCACAATTATCTCTCTCCATTTCTCTGTGCTCCGAAGAAGGTCCGTTGAACGGAACGTCTGTTATAGGTTAGATTAAAAAAAAACAATCCTTTTCAAAGCAGTAGTTATTGACGAATATTTGTTTTTGGGGGGGGGGGTGTTTTAGTATATACTGTTTTAAAGGCAGCGTTCATGGAAAATGTGATGAGTGTTAGCGGTCACTTCTCTTGCACACTTCTCACCACTTACAAACTCAGTTCCTTATATTTGTTATATTTTTTTACGCAAACGGGTAGTGTGGCCAGAACATCGCAAGCCCGGCCGTCTTTATCTTCCCACCCTTCTCTCTCTCTCTCACCACCACCACCGCCGCCGCCCCCTCCAACTTCCTATACTGACACGTCGCACCAGATATACCTCATTTTAGGCTGAGCGGACCTAAGTGCAGGCCTGGGTGACGAGTCCATTGCAATACGACAACCGCCTCGCCAACACTCCCCGTTACACAGTCATGTTCTATACAACATTTCTGACAATCCACTGCTGTATGGAGGCCTCGCCACACTGACTTAGTGGTGGATGGGTTGTTTGACCATACTTCCCCATTCTGGTACGTGGTGGTGGTGGGGGCAGGAATCGAACTCAACAGGTCACTGCTACGTTGGCTGTAGAAGGCAGTGTGCCGCTTATACCTTGTACAGATTTATACGTATAATAACGCCTTACTCAATTATAAAAAGCGTACGTAAGATAGTGGTTGTAATGGAAGTTCACATCGTGCAACTGTGTGTGTGTTTGTGTGTTGCTCTTTCCCCGCACCTACGATTATAGCACGGTTGGCTACGTACGGTGCGAAATAAGTTCAACTTACGTACTTACAAAATAACACATTTTTGAATGTAAATCTTCACGCGTTAGTGGAGCAAAGTAGTCCAACTAGAGAGATATTCGCAACATTGTACGAGTACATGTCCATATATATACGTTTACATGCATGTTATATAGTTGTACGGGTGTGTTTGTAATGTATTTAGTTCGAAGCTGTTGGTAGTACAATCGCTGCGTGTATTTACGAACGTGTGGGGTGGGAGCGGTGGCGCAATGGTTAGCGCGCTCTGCTTCGCAACAACAAGTGGTGGTGAATACTTGAACCGGTTGTGGGCCTTCCCTAGGTCGATTCGGCCCTTAATTACAATGTTACGGTACCCTGGTGCGATGTGTAAACATCGGCACTGGGGGAGACAAAGGCGGCCGGGCGTGGTGTTGGCCACCCACCCCCTCGTGCGTAGGTGCTGTTCGCTAACAGCAAACTTGCCCCAACAGTCTGTTAAGGCTACACGTATATGTGTATGTGTAAGTATGTGTGAGTATATGTGTATGTGTGAGTATGTAAGTATGTATGAGTATATGTGTATGTATGTGTGTAAGTACTGTATATGTGTATGTATATGTATGTGTAAGTATGTGTGAGTATATGTGTAAATATGTGTATGTATGTGTGTAAGTACTGTATGTGTAAGTATGTGTGTATGTATGTGTATGTATATGCGTAAGTATGTGTATGTATATGTGTAAGTATGTGTGTAAGTACTGTATATGTATGTATATGTGTAAGTATGTGTGTATGTATATGTGAAGGTATGTGTGAGTATATGTGTAAGTATGTAAGTACTGTATATGTATGTATATGTATAAGTATGTGTGTATTTATGTGTGTATGTGTGAGTATATGTGTATGTGGGAGTATGTGCATGTATATGTGCAAGTACTGTATATGTATGTATATGCGTAAGTATTTATATATGTGTAAGTATGTGTGTATGTATATGTGTAAGTCTGTGTATTTATATGTGCAAGTATGTATATGTGTAAGTCTGTGTATGTATATGTGTAAGTATGTGTATGTATATATGTGTAAGTATATGTATAAGTCTGTGTAAGTATGTGTATGTATATGTGCAAGTATGTGTATGTATGTGTGAGTATGTATATGTGTAAGTATGTATATGTGTGAGTATGTATATGTGTAAGTACTGTATGTGTATGTATAAGTATGTGTAAGTACTGTATATGTATCTATATGTGTAAGTACTGTATATGTATGTATATGTGTATGTATATGTGTAAGTATGTGTGTA